GCCAGTAAGTGCTGATTGTTGTGAGTCAGTGTCACTAGTGTTATCTTCTGTCCCCATATGGTGTTTACATTAATTTCTCCAGATCCTTGGTAATCCTGATGAGCAGAACCTTTGCCTCTTCTGGTGCTTCATTCACTACACTGGAAAAAAATCAAAATCTAGATAAGTCCCCTTTTCTTAAAATAAGTGCATTTGTTCTCGAATTGAGAAGGTAAGAGACCTTTTGCCAATAGAACAAGACAATTTACATTTAAAATAAGAAAACACAGTTGCATTGTCCTATTTCAAGTGCATTTTATCTAATTATCCCATTTTAAGAGTTAAAATAATCATTGCATTGGCAAATCATCTAATTTACCTACTCAAATTAAGGATAAATACACTTAATTTAAGAATTTCTTACTTATTTCTAGATTGTTTTTCCAGTGTATATAAAAATCTTGCAGTTTGCCATTCACGTCCCCTAATTTTTCTCTTGCTTTTTTTAGGATCCTGGCCATAGTTAACCAAGTTGGCATTCTTCTTGGTTAGATATTGAATGATGCAAACATTAGTTCCCCTCAGCCTCCTTCTGCGTTTAACCAGAATTTTTTTGTACTTTCTATTGATGAACCTCGTGATAATTGCATGTTTGTCATTGGAGTTTCTCCTCAGCAAGGAGTTGCAAGCTTAAATGTGGTCACTGTGCAATGAGACTTGAGAAAGTTACTTACCTGGCGTCCATTTCACGAAGAATGCTTACCAAAAACTCTGAGTTTTCTACACCCAAAATACCGGAAACTACGACTTTTGTGTTTCAAAAAGAGACTTTCCCCAACCTCTGTTTCATCAGTAAAACCAGTTTCCTGTGTCTCCGCTCTCCTTACACCCAATCACAATCACAATTATTTCCTGATTTACACATTAGGTTTTAAAGAAAAACATTGCAAGTCCATTCGACGAGGATCTTATTGAAGAATGGTCGGCACTTTTTCACAAAAAAATTTATATTTTTAGGGAGAGGCTTCTACAACTTGTTTGTGGTTTGTTTATTATGAGCGAGATGTGGATAGTTTTATTTTCATTTCGTTATATTTACAGCACATGAAGAACTAATGAAATTATTTTCAGATTACACATAAATAAATTAATTAATTCTATGGGGGAAAAGGGATTAATTGAGGGTTAGTATTAGTATTCATTCGATGATAACAACCTAATGAACTTACTGGCGCAATCTGAGCCATTCTTTGGGCCTGATAGCCACTAATAACAGTCATTTATGGGTATGATAACATCCGAAGTGCGGCTGCAAACAGCCACTTAGTATTTATTGTGTAAAAAAAGACTGAATGAACATGAGGAGGGACTCATGGTGCACAGGTTCTTCATTTCCACCTGCTACCAGAAGATTTCACCTAAATACATACATTGATCCACTACCATTCAAGAAAAAAATCCCTAAATGTTGTCGTGGTCACAACCCTATGGCAAGGCGTTTGATATGTACTAGTTTTCGTTCGTTTTTTAGTTAAATGTCAGAACGGCCACTTAAAATGTGTAAACATTTCTAGATATATAAATCTTAATTCTTACTAGTGGAGTTATTTTTTTGCTGTTTAGAATTCAGTTTCTGCTACAAAAATGTAATTTGGAAAATATATTATTATACTTCAGCCTAGGTGTGTGCTTTTTATCAAGAAGAATCTTATTTTAGTGATCTACAAAGGGAACAAAAGAGAGAAGAGTGCTTTTAATAAATGTAAAAATGGCCTGCCATAGCCCACTTTATATAAACCTACGTATTAACTCGATCAACAATCTTCTCCTCACCATCTTACTCTGCTTTGTAGCTGACACACTCTGTCTTTTGAATAAATTTTCCTTTCTTTTATTTTATTTTTTTGCATTTCTGCATTAAAATCTCCAGTTCCGGTGGGGTGAAATAGGCACTTCCTCCTGCCTGTTGTCACTGTAGCTCTTTGAATCGGTGGTCCACTGATAATGGCTTTTCATACTTGTTGTGCACATGCTAAACTCTTAATGGACCTACTTACAGGTGATTGAACTAATTCATAGCAGCCATTGTGGAACCAGAAACTCAGAGTTCCAGACATTAGGCTAGGTCAATTTAGAGTTGCGGATTTGAATCTGAGTTTGTTAAACCTGCTTCGAAAAATGGACCCCTGTTGCTCAGCAGACCCACAGTCCAGCTTCCCTGGTTCTTTTCTGCTGTCAGTAGCAGGATGAGTGAATGACTGGGCATGGTTTAGTCTGTACCCCAGTGATGATAGCGACATTAATCATGGTATATTATATCGGAAAACCTGTTCTCAAGGTAGGTGTCCTTCACGTTTTGATGGCAGAAGGCTTTCACTTCATTAGGAACATGAGAATTATGCTGAAGCTACAGAGATCCAAAGCTCAGGTTGGAGAATCTGTTAACTGGACAGTTATTTAGAAGAGCATGAGAAGAAGTCCTAAAGAGATCAATGATAAACCCTGATTCCTACAAACCACCTAGAAGAAACTGACCACATGTGGAAGAATGTGCTCTGGTCAACTGAGACCAAAGTTGATGTTTTTCAGGTGTTTGTCAGACGTAGACGTATCTGTAGTGGAAAAATTATGACACACATGACCCTGAAATTATCATCCCGACTGTGAGATTGTGGCATTATGCTTCGAGGGAAATACTTTTGTAAAGACAGAACTGGGGAAAATTGATGGAAATATAGAGGACAGTCCTAGTGTGGGTGATTCCATTTTCCTGAAGGCCAGTATCCTGCAACTTTTAAAGTAATCCTAGCTCCAACTATTAATAATTCATTGTCCTATTAATAATCTAATTACTAAAATCAAGTGTTTTGAACCATGGATGCATCTGGCATATCAGGTCAAAGATATGCTTAAGTCAGTCTGACCAACTCTGAGCTTTTTAGCCAAATAGACTGGCCAAAGGTATTCATCTTTGATGTGTGCACACAGTAGGTGGTAGAAAAACACCCTCATAAACTGGCAGTTGTAATCACAGAAAAAACAGATCAACAAAGTATTCAAAGCTGTGTATAAAATACCATATCACACTTTTCAACCTGGTTCAATAAATTATAAGAAATTAGTAACTCGTAGCATTTTCCTTCCACTTGAATTCCAAATTAATCCCAAAAAGCTTATTAAGTTTAAAAAGTTATTACTTGACAAAACATAAAACAGTTAAAGGGTGGTCAATGCTGTTGCAAGAATCTTTACACAACTACTTGACTGTTTTTTTTTTTTATATATATATATATATAATAAACCTCTAATGTATTCGGTGTGTCTGATTTAACAATTCAAGGAAAAAGGTTTTATCAGACTGCCAGCCTGTGGCATCACACAGCTTTAGTTCATGTTATAGCGTGTCAAGTATATGGTGTTAAAAAGCAGCCTAAAGTTTCAAAATTGAGACTATTATATAAAAAGAAAAAAAAATTAAGTACGGCAGCAACACCGGATAATTGCTTCACTTTTTACCTTATAGTCTAACCCCGGTTGACTCTCACACATATTGTTGGTGCATGACTCCTTTGGGGGAACAGGTGAGAAAAAAACACATTGAAGCTAATGATAACAGGCAGGCATGTGAAAAGAAGGGGAGGATGTGAGAGAGCAAGGTGTGGATTTAACAGTATAGACTCTAGTGAGGCCACAATGTTAATTTTTTCCTCTTATAATAATCTCACTTTGTGATAGCACAGTGGCACCTCAAATTTGTCTTTCTCTTCTTTGTGGCACTGAGTTGCATAAACTTCCCGGAAGTAGTCAGAAGACTAATCACCAGCACACATTTTAATGCTCAGTGCTTATACGTAGAGCTCTTCTTTTTCAGTTCTTGACATAACCCTTTTGCTTTTGCTCTTGGTGAACCATATTAATCTCTGTATGAAAAATGTCTACATAGAAAAATTATGATAGAGAACTATGCTCTTAGAGGTGACCAGCGAAAAGCTTTTAAAGAAGAAATAAAATGCTACATTATGCTCTAATGCTTTTTTGCTGTTTCATATGCTTTGTTGCTTTTATTTTGAGCTTTTTCCTGATTGACAAATCTGTGTTTTTACTTAAAAGCAGAAACAAATTTAATGCTTTAATGTCATTCAGAGTCACTTAACATTTTCTCAGCTGCATCTCGGGACAAAACATCAATGTAGTTGTGATGCAGGAAGTCATAATATATACAGCTTTAGATTCCTTAAATCCTGCTGTGCTTAGAAATAAAGAGGCTGGCATTTCTGGTAAAGACAAGTGGGAAGCCTTCAAATGAGTGCATATTTTACTCCAGCTAAGAATGGCATTTTGGGGTTACTAAGACTCCACGCAACTATTAGATACTATCTGCATCTCAGGTGGTTGTTTTAAGCTGTACATGGGAAAGTCTTTTATGACTTAATTTTACTATGGATTTAGATTAAATATATTTTGCTTCATAGCAAAAAAAAAAAAAAAAAAGAAAGAAAAAGGAAGAAATAGGTGTGGTTAGAAAGGAACAATATGTCAAAAGTTCCATCATTCATACCATTAAGCATGGTGGAGAGACAACATGCTGGGGGCTTCTTCCCTGTCTGAAGACCATTTGCTTCTTATACAAGGGTATTTATCATAAAGTATTCACCATTATTGGACATATTAAATAAGTATTTGATGAAATGTGCTAGAAAAACAAAAACAAGGAGAATGAAATTATCCAAAAAAATAAGAGGCCAAATCAAAACACTTTATCAGCCATACATTTGGTGCAAAGGCCAGACTCTTAGAAAAGCTCTGGGTTGAGTAGAAGAGGACTCTAGTCTGGACAATTTAGATCATTCCAACATGTTGCTCTGCAGATAATTGCTTGCAGCCTTTCAACATGGAAAGGTGCATTAGAAAAGCTGAGAATGCAACTTGCAATGACTGCAAACCTTACCAAAAAGCCAGCTGGATGGAGACAGAGTTTAAATGTGTCAGGACTCAGCAGGTAGTGTTGTGCTTTTTTCTGCCCCTGCTTTCTGCACAGGTGACTGGAGTTGACTGGTGGGCGTGGTACACACCTGAGGCTCATTCTGTGGTTTGCCTGGCTGCGCTATAAGAGGAGCTCTCTGACAGCTGGAGGATGCCAGAGTGTTAACCTTGTGTGGTACGCCTCAGTTGGCCACTGTCTTTGACAGCCTGAACCTTTCCTGTTTTTGATCACCTTTCTCCTGTGTCTCCTAGAACGCTCCCTCGACTCTAAACCTGCTCCGGGCGTTTCCCCAGTGCTCGCCTGGTGTCTCCAGCTGATCGCTGATCACTGCTCCCAACGGCGCAGCTTGGATCCCGCACGAGTTTCCCCGGCCCGCTCATCGGTCACCCAGTCACCGGATCACCTCACCCAGGCAGCGCTGAGTCCGCTCCTCCACACCACCTCCCCAGTGCGCTTTCTGAGCTCAGTGGTAAGCCTTACGCACCTCTTTACGCGCGGCCCGTCCGCGGCGCGCTGTCTAACTCATCTCTCCCTTTTCAGCTCGTGCAAACCCCGGTCCCGTGACTCTGCCTGACGCTGACTCATTGTTTAGTTTTCTCGTTTTCTCTGTATTTATTTCTGAGCTTTGATAAAACCCTGAATCTGCTTCCTGTCTCCCGAGTATTGTCTGCATGTGGGCCAAACACGTGAAAAACATGACAAAATGAGTGTAGATAATATAAATAAAAACTCACAGCCCTCTTTTCCGTGATATTTCAACAACAACAAAAAAAACACATCCTGTAACTCTAGTTTTGACAAAGAAATAGTTTTTTTTTTCTCTGTCCATGTTGCCTAACAGGCACAGAAGCTCTTGTACTTATTGAGGAGCATAAGCAGAAACCACCTGCCCCCACCCATCCTCACCACCTTCTACAGAAGCACCACAGAGAGCGTTCTGACCAGCTGTCTCACTGTGTGGTGTGGAGGCTGCAGTGCCTCAGACTGGAAGAAGGTGAGAACAGTGGTGAGAACAACAGAGAGGATCATCTGGGCTCCTCTTCCCTCGATTAAAGACATTTCATCCCAGCTCTGCGTGTCCCAAGCCTGTAACATTATCAATGACCCCTCACACCCCCACCATGGACTGTTCTCCCTGCTGCCCTCTGGGAAGAGGCTTCGCAGCATTCGATACAGGTCCAGCAGACTGTGCAACAGTTTCTTTCCCACTGCCATCAGACTGCTGAACTGTTGAAAAAAATGTGAATCAAGTAACAGACTCTGCATCACACTGTTAACACCAAACCAAAATACTAAATATTTGCACGATATATATATATTTAATGCTGTGAACTTCAATATTAATGTGTTTTTGCACCATGTTTTTTCTCCCATACTGTTTACATTTAATCACTGCTGCACTTTATGGAATGGAAATGTTCATTTTACTGCAGAGCTGCAGCTCATTCACTGCTCATGTACAAAATGAAAGTTTGTGTATTACACTCTGTGTGTACAAAATGACTATAAAAAGTTGTCTGACTCTAAGTCTGTCTCCTAAAGGCATTTATACTGTAGCCAGCATCAGTTTTCCCATTTAATGGTTACATTGATTGACGCTCTATTCTGATATACATTTTTTTTCGTCATGGTCTTGCAGACTACTTGAATGCGGCAACTATTAGACTCCAGTCTGAGCGTTCAAAGGCACCAACACGACCCTCATGCGCAGAAGGACAGTGAAGACTTTGCACAGCAGCATTGTTTGTAGATTTGATAGCAGATTTCGGCATCTGTCATATTATTATAGGTCATTAAAAAATGGGAGCTGACAATATTATGACCACATCATATTAAGATTAAGAAAGGTAAGGAAAATAGAGCAAAGCATTTAACAATGTTTTCTTTTGGCTCAGTGCTGGAAGGAGTCTGTATGAATGAGTAATAAAAGCCTGGATCATAATGTCAAAGTCAGATGAAAGGAGACTGAACGTTCAGTCTACAAAGGCTGCTAAAAATTGTTTGGACACATTCTATTTAGTGCCACATATGATAGTTGCAAAATTAGAATTGAGTTGGTGAAAAGATCGGTAATAGGCCGTCTCGACTGACACGACAAAGTCTGATATGAGTGCAATATTGGCAACAAAATAAAAATTGAAATTGAAAATCATATTTAGGTCACATTTGCAAATAGTGTAAATAGTCATGTTGCATTTCATCCGACCCATACCACCGATGCAAACAGACTTTTCTTCATCACAGCAGTCAATGCTCCACAAAAACACATTGTAAATAGATCATTTATCATTTTTTCATTTAATCATAATGTGTTCCTAATAATGTCAGCTCCCATTGGTCAACAGCTTGGAATGATAATGCACAGATGCCAACCTCTGGTAATGAATCCGTAAACTATGTGTTGCTGAGTGACGTCTTCACTATCCTCCTACATACAAGTTACTGTACATCAGGGGCTATGAACCGTTCAGACTGGAATCGGATAGTAGCTGCATTAAATTGTATTTCAACAAAAATATCAGAAATTGGCTTCAAGACCTGCGGTGTGAATGTAGTGAATGTAGCCAAACAAACTGTCAACATCACTAATGCATCAATAGATAAATCTAAACCACTTTAACATTTTTAAACAAGGTTTCAGGTTTATTTTACTCTTGTCTCTCCTTTTACTTTTTTCTCGATGCAGTCTGAAAAAAATATATAAAATTCTACTACACCATTTCAGAAGAAATCCCTAAAATACAAACTTTTTTTCTCATCAGCATTCAAAGATGTCGGGGTGTTTAACTAAGGACTTAACATCATCAAATGAAGACACTTTCCTATTCTCTCTTTTTTCCTCTGCCTTAAGTCTATGATGTTTCTTCAAGCTAACAGAGATTTGAATTCCCACTCCAGGCATTAGTTGTGCTTTAAATTCCTCAGTCAGCTCTTCTTGCATATAAAGCACTCTCACATGGGCACAGTTTCTAATCACAACAGATGTTAAAAAGTCTCAGTACCAGTAGTAAAAAAAAAGGAAAATGGATGGGAACACGTCTTCAAGAGATAAAAATAATCCTCCAAAAAGATTCTTTTGAAGGCAGTGTTAGGAATATTAAAGAAAAGAGATAATACAGTATTGTAAATAAGTGTTTGCCCCTCTCTTTATTTGCATGTTTGTCATGCATGTGTGAAATGCCCATGTTAAAACATAATTTGATTTATCACACTAGAGGAAACTTTCTTTAGCCACACCCAGGCCTGATTATGGCCACACCAGTTCTCTATCAAGAAATCAATTACAAAGGACTGCCTCCACCATAAGCATAAAGAATGGGAAATAAATGACCCGTTTGGCTGATTTCCTAGACCAAAACTTCTGCTGAACAAGAGGAACAATAATGCTAATCCTATTTTATCAAGAACACATTTTCGTCATCAGAATTTGGGGGGAAATATTCTGTTGACTTTCAAGACAAAAGTTTAACCATTTGAAAGGTGTCTCCCTTAAAACATTTGTGGCATTAGTGGTGATGCCTTATGACCTGGAAGACTTATTGTAATAAATGGAAACTGAAATTCTGCTGTCTATTAAAAATCCTGAATTTCTGACCATCTATTTTTTACCTCAAACTGAAAGGAACTTTGGTTCTGCAGTAGAACATTGATGCACAGCTCCCAAGCAAGTCCACCTCTGAATGGCTGACAAAAAATACTATCAAGGCGTTGCAAGTCAAAGTTCTGACTTGAATTCTTTCAAGATGCTGTTTCTGTCAATATCTTGGCACTGATAACTGGCTTAATTACTCATTTCACTCACCTGTCTAACTCTACCTGGTTCATCTTCACTGCTCATCTGATCCACCTGCTCCTGACTCTATTTAAGGTGTCCATTCATCAGGGCCTGATTATTATTGCTCTCTATGTTTTTAGCATATCTTAGTGTTTCTGATTTTTTAATCCTGACCTGTTCTTCCTCTCAATCAATAAGGCTGCCTCCTATTCTGGTATGTTTGCCAGACCTGGCTAAGGACTCTTGGACTTCTGAGCCTGCCTGTTTTTCTTCAGATCTGTTTGCATGACCTGTCTCCAGACTGCTTCGTGTTCTCCAGTGCTGCAGCATCTGGAATACTCTGGGCAGCACCTGACACATCTTGTTGGCAGCTACCAGCTGGATCCTACCTCGTTTTCTGGGCATGGACTGAACTTGTAAACCAGGTTAGTGACTCACATTCATAATCTTCCTCCGATAGATTTAAGTGGTCACTTACCTGTTTTTTCCTTCCTGTAGAGTTCCCTGTGATAGACACCAGTTCCAAATAATTGTTTTTTAGTAATCCTACTGTCTGTCTAGCTTTGTATACTGGGTCCTTCTGTTCTGAGTTTCAGGACTTTAAAATTGTGTTCAATGCCAGAAAACTCTCCAATGTGGCTGATTTCAGCAGTTCTGAAAAAATTAGTGGAAAAGATTACAAGGTCAGCAAATGGTTTCTCAAGGAAAAAAACTGAACACATAAAGGTAAGGAAGGAATACTTTCTGTGGTAAATAACGTAACGTTACCATAGTCCATGGCAGCAATAACTTTGTTAGTGATTGCCAGTTAAGAGCCACGGATAAACACATAATCGAAGATACTGTAAGATACTTTCTGTGGTAAATTAATATAAAGAGTTAATGGCATCAAAAGAAAAGCAACAAAGAGAATACACAAGTACATTGGTAACAGCTTTTTTAATAGGTTGGTTCTAAATAGAGAAGTTTAAAATCAGATTATCCACCAGACATCCCCTTGTCTATTTTACTGTGTTTTATAAAAGCTACACATTCTTACATTCCTGTCAGGAAAGTATTCAGGTAAATAATGTTTTTACATTTCATTGTAAGCTTTAGTGATAGGTGTCAAATACCTTTCTATAAACTTAGTTACTCTACTTAGGTGACTTTTAAAAATATCTTTACTATATATGAGAATTTATTTTTCTGAGGAGTTTTTACTGTTACTTATTACATTTGAACACAAATTCAGTATGAACTAGCTTGTTAGTAACTATACATATTGATAAGGACATGACTTAATCGCTATACCAAAACAGAGGGAAAAGCAAGAGCACAAGGACAATCTGTCCAGTTGGAAAACCCCTTTCTCCATAGGAGAACATTGATAGCAGCATGGCTGAAGATGTGGCAAAGAAAAAAATTTACTTAATTGATCCGATTCTGAGACGCAACACACTTTCCATCCATTCCCTTTTGTTATATTTTGAATTTTAATGTTTATTTCTAATGCTACAGTATTTATAACTTTAAAGCTGCGAATATCTGAGCTCAGAATATAGGACCTCTCTTTAGTTCAATCTGTTATTCTTTCTGAAATTACAATTTAGAATATAAGTAGAAAAAATCTGTATTTTTCATGTGTTCTATTATGACATAGTGAGCAAAAGCGGAAAGGGACTCTATTTTCTGTATATAGAGTTGCCTATTTAAAAAGGGAATGTATAAGCTAATACATTTTTGGGTAAAAATCTAGATTTCATTTTTGTAACTACGCACAGTGTAAAACCTGTAGTTTTTACTTTTGCCTAAATAAAAGAGCTAAATTTGTACTTTCATTTTTAA